TACAACGAGGAATCATGCTTGCTTCTTTTCCCATTTATGTTACTGAGCTTTCCTGAGCCACTTGGGGCGCCTTGCGAGCATCCGCAGAAACTAGTTAAACAGTGAGTTGAATACTCTGCAGCTGACTGATTGTTTCGTTCAGTGTACGAGTGCGGAGGCGAATAAGCCTTATATATTAACATTGAACGATTTGTCGACGACGCGAAATGATGGAACGCCTCGGCGAAGTCGCATGCGCAACATCACCACCGAGACATTCGCAACGCTGAATAAGCCTCAGCCGATGTTCTGTGAGCATAAGCCAAAATTGAGCATGTACAGTAACTGGCAGCAGGTTAGTCCGCACACTACCTTCATCGTAAAATACATTTCTGTCGCCTCTCCAAGAGCATAGTCGGCCGTTGTTCTGTGCTCATCTTTCGCCTATTCAGGGAGCTGTTCTGGATTCCGTGCACATAATTCCTTCGTTATCATCAGTTGGCGATAGTTTCTGCTGTTTTTATCGGGAATTTTCTGATAATAGTTAGCCGTTAGTAGCTGGGGGTAGCATTCTATCAGTGAGTTTTGCGGCATAGAAATCATAGAAGCTGGAAGGAATTTGCAAAAGGAAGCTTAATTTTGCAAGTTGCTTAGCAAGTATATCGCAGATAGGCTGTGGTGCATCTACATGGATAAATCCTGTAACTGTTATTGTTGTAGAGCACCGTGGATTCTGAAGAAGCGAAACTGAATCTGCTGTATATGAGCACCTGCTCGACAAAACCCAGAATGGGAGTGAAGCAGCTATGGCGGTACACTACTGCATTGCGTGAAATGGGCGTACTCAAAGTGACGCATTCTTCTTTTTGGGATTATTCAAATAAGGCAAGAGATTTCTGTATTACTTTCTAAGTTGGTCAGTTTTCCTTGGTTTGCAAAAACAACAGTAGTGATTGTTACCTATTAAAAACAGGCGCTTTGCTTAGTCTGCCATCAGTCTGCTTGTAAGAACCCTCAGAAAAGGGAGCCATCGATAGCCTTGCCAGCGGGTGGTTGCTGATGGCATTTGCTCTCACAGGAGTTCCTCCGCCTCTCAG